GATTAATTCATAATGGACATCATTTTTAAAACCTAAATGTAAAAATTAATCAGTTGCCAAAGAAGAAGAGTTTATAGTAGGAAACCATTCCTAAAGGTAATTGCTGCACTCAAACCCTGTTATATTTAATTTGGAATATTAACGCAACTTTGTTTACATTAAGATCATCAGCAAGATTTGTCTGCTCTCTAAATGAGACAAAYGTATCCGTGACTTTGGCCTGTGGTGTACAGCACCACACACTGATGTTACTTATATCAAACATTTCTTTCAAACGTTATATCACGGTTACTGAAATGTTTTTTTTAATCTGCTGAAAGTTCAAGCTTTTTTTAAATAAAGGCTGTGTAAATATACACTTTACTATGTTTTTTTCTTGTTATTTTCAGGTGAAGTTCATGAAAAGTAAACCTGGAGCAGCAATGGTGGAGATGGGAGACTGTTACTCTGTGGACAGGGCCATTACTCACCTCAATAACACCTTCCTCTTTGGACAGAAACTTAATGTTTGGTAAAAGCTTCTCCCCAAACTGCTTTGAACACTAGTTTTATAGAGACTCTTTACAGTTCTTATGCATTATTCATTCGTACACACGTTCACACACTGGTGRTGGTCAGCTACATTGCAGCCACAGCTGCACTGGCACAGAAAGAGGCAGGGCTGCCCTGGATGTGTTTGCATCGAGCAGAGAGTCACTTTGATGTGGGCGGGGTCATAAATTTAAACACACCAGATCTTGTTTTGTTTTATTTGTGACAAAACAATAATGGACTACACCAAACTTGAAGGAAAAGTACAGAATATTGAACTGGACCATCCTGCAGTGTGATGCTTAAGACGAGAGGTTGAACTGTCATGGACTGTCCCTAACCTCTCTGATACTGAACATGCTGTATACTGCTTGTCTTTAGCTAAATATTGAGACGTAAGATCTTTGGTGTTTCTCTTTGCAGTGTGTCCAAGCAGCAGGCCATAGTACCAGGGCAGTGCTATCAGTTAGAGGATAACACCAGCAGTTTCAAAGACTTCCATGGATCTCGCAACAACCGCTTTACTTCTCCAGAGCAAGCAGCTAAAAACCGAATCCAGCATCCCAGCAACGTTCTGCATTTCTTTAATGCCCAGCCAGAAATCACTGCAGAGGCGTTTTCCCAGGTGAGAAAACACACCGGTTTTGTTTAAAGGATAACATTATTCCTAGAATCACCATTTTAAAACTGCACTGTACCTTGTCTCTTCTTACTTTTAGATTTGTGATGAACTGGGGATTAAGAGTCCTGTTGATGTAAAACTTTTTACTGGAAAGAGTGAGTAGTTATTTTTGCTCATAAAATGAACAAGTTTTTATATGGATTCAACCACAGACACTTATTTATTTTTATTGTGTATAATGTGATCTCAAGTACAATGCGATCCCCATTTTTGTGCTTAAAAATCAAAAATAATTGAATCCTTGTGTACACTCACCGGCCACTTTATTAGGTACACCTGTCCAACTGCTCGTTAACACTTAATTTCTAATCAGCCAATCACATGGCGGCAACTCAGTGCATTTAGGCATGTAGACATGGTCAAGACAATCTCCTGCAGTTCAAACCGGGTCAAGACAATCTCCTGCAGTTCAAACCGG